GTATGACCCGGATGAATCCGATGGAGCGAGTTGGGTCATCATGAGCTGCCACACGGTGGTCCAAGCTGTTCGAGCGGTGGAGATAAGTAGACCTGGAGGAAGAGATGGTCCCCATAGTAGCTTTGTGGCGGAGGTGAAGATGCTAGTGGTGGTGCTCGTGCTTGGTTTTGGTGATTGGTGCGACATTCTAGGGCTGAGGTGGCGTGGCGTGAAGGACGGGAAGCTTAATTGTGGCGCGAAGCAATTTGCCATGGCTGAGATTTCTTCTTCTGCTTCCTCTGTCTGTCACTAGGCGAGAGAAGAGAGACGAAAGACGTAAAACGGTGCGTTTTGTATCTATATGAAAGCAGGCCCAACTATGTTTATTGCAGGCCCAAGCGAATATCGAGTTTTTTGCTAATTGAAATGTTTAGAAATATAGATTCGGGTATTTGGGTTGGTTTGGTTTGGTTCGTTAATTTGGGATTTTTAGGTTTTGGATCTTTGTAACGGTCCCCTAATAATCTATACTATTAATTGAGAAGCATTAAATAATAAATAACCTTATAAAGGTAAAGAATTACAAAGAATGCCATTAATATTTTAATAACTGAAGAACAATTTGAAACGAAATTAAAAGGACAAAATAGTCAAGACAACTTAACAAAAAAAAAAAAGGACGCGGATCTATGACCCGATTTGGGGAGTACTCGGATCTTCTGAATTTTAGGAGCATTGACTGCAGACCCGCATATCCGGTTCAACAACTTTTATCACCGAAACCTGCAAAAGAGAGCAGCAAATCAGAACCATGTATATATTATCGATTTTTAGTAACTAACATAACTATTGAATATTGAATATAAGATACAATATTCCAAATCAAAACATAACAATTAATGATTTTTCCAAAACAAACTTTCCCTATATATCATAACCGGATTATTAGGAGCATATTCCTATAATCAGGATTTAGGAGCATATTCCTATAATCAAAATTGTTAATTACATTTTTTAAAGATTTTAATAGAGTTGTTCTTATCAAACCTAAACAGTAACAATGCATAACCGATTTCTTTAGCTTATAAATAGAAAATCCGAGCTCATCCTTCTAAAACCACATACAAAACTCCAAATCTATATACCTTTATAACTTTAGATCTTCCGTTTTTTTTTTTTTTTTTTTTTGGTGCACAAAAAAAAAAAAAAAAAAAAAAAGATCTTCCGTTTTTATTATTGTTATTGTTGTCGTTGAGTTTTTAACTCCGACCCTTTTATCTGTATCTTCCTCCTCTATTGGAGTTTCTTCCTCCTCTAATGGAGTGTAAACCTATTATCTAATAGATGATTAAGTTCTTCCTAGATAAAGCATTAGAAGATGGTAGACAAAGTAATCGTTTAATTTTCATAAGAACCTTGAAGGAACATATGGAAATTGAAAAACCTTATCGACGATGGTGATAGTTATGTAAGGACCTTTGCTTCTTTCCATAGTCACGAAATAAATTAAACCAAACTTTTTTTTGGATTCTCACCAATCCAAGAGACTGATGCTGAACACATCATTTGCTTGCAAAAGCCAAAGTCAAAGTCACAATTCACAAATTTAGAGCTGATTGTGTCCTTCATTGATAGAATTTTCACATAGACTTAACAAAAGACTAAAAAAAAACAAAAACAAAATCATTGATTCTAAAGATCAAAAACTTTAACCAACCTATTTCCTTAATTTAATCTGCAAAATAAGAATTCAGAGATGACGTGTCCCAAAACTTGATGAACAAAAAGAACTAAAAATTCCTTACCTCTGAGATAGAACCTCACATCAACACACATAGAATTTGACCAATCAATCAAGACCTACGATCATAAAATCCACGTTTTGAAAATAGAAACGTTAGTCTACCAAAGAAAAAGAGGAGAATATAAATTGCAGAGAACTTTGACTAAGAACTAGAACTTTTTAATTTAACAGAGACATAGAACTTGATAGTGCATAAGAACGACACGAGGATCTTTGGGATGAATCTGACTTAAGCACTTTCTCAAAAAATTTGTTCGCCACCATAAAGAAGTAAGAGGAAAAGAAATCATATGATAGTTATTAGAAATATAGGACAAGGAGTTTTTCATAGGATCCAAAAGCTGTAATCAATATATTTTCTTAACCTAATCTTCATCTAACAGATAAATATGGAAATATATGCACTGAAAGAACCTCATCGGCGAAGGTGATAACAAGCTAAGGATATATGCTTCAAGCGTTGAGTATCGCGAGTCTAATATGCTAGCAACTAGCAATCAAAGCAGCTTTTGATAAATCGATTTTTTTCAAAAACGTTGAAATAAATTTGAAAATTGTGAATCCAGATTGTTAATAATCTGAAATTTGATGAAATAAAAAGGAAGAATAACGCATCACTTACCTCATGATACAGTCCCAAATCAACACATGGATTCGATTATCGGTTAGTCTCTTGAACTCCTTCGAAACAACTTTCGCACTTTCCTTTTCCTTTCTTTTTTTTCTTTTGTCGGCTCAGTTTGTTTTTCTCCCTATTATCCCATATTTATTGTCTTTATTTGTTAACAATGTTTGAATTATAATTCTTTACCCTTTATAAGGTTATTTATTATTTAATGCCGGATTTTGTGATCCGGCAACCCTTTACCCTTAATGGCATTCTTTGTAATTCTTTACCCTTTATAAGGTTATTTATTATTTAATGCTTCTCAATTAATAGTATAGATGCTGGTCCCGCATTGAGATCACTAGAAATGGAGCCATATATTATATTTAACTTTTATAATTTTGTAAGAATATCTTTTGTTATTACAATTATTTGAAAAATATAAGAAATTCAATTGGTAAAAACATGGTTATAAACTTTCAACTGATAAAAAATAATGAAAAAAGTTGTGATAAAATGTGGTGCTAATATAACTCACAAAAGTTCTAAATTAGTTTCAGTATTTGACATCATAGGAAGGTTATTTTGGTCAAAAAGTTCAATAGGTTAAAATTTGCTAAAAACTAACTAAACATTCGTAGATGTTTAAGCACCTAGGAAATTAATTAGATATTTTTTTCTTTATATTTTTTGAATATTAAATTATTATTAAATTATTATAAATATATTATAAATTATTATAAACATTATACTAAATATATTATTTCATTTTATTTTTCCTTTAAGACATTTTATTAAAATGTAATTAAAAAACAAATTAATAGGTCTCCTACATGGCTAAGCCAAAACAATTGTTGACCTTCCAATGCCGGCCAAAATAGAGAGTGTGGATCGTTCTAGCCGTTTAGATGCTTAGCCATAACATTACTTTCTATCCAACTATTACCTGTAATTTAAATGATTTATTAATTCTATTAAGAGAAAATAGAAAAATGTATAGATTGAAGAAATATCTTAAATTACCTTTTGATATAATTTTTTTTACTTTGTATGGACTTCCTAAATGAAAAATAAATCACATTACATATGTGATACAACTTTTTTCCTAAATATCTCGTTTTATGCATAAAAGATTATATACCAAAGTTTAATAAGAATCATATAAAGATTAGTTTTTTTTTTTTTAAGATAGCTAAAACAATTTCTTTTGTAATAATTAATTTTTTCAAATATAACTAAATTTTTTCAAGCAAATACATCAATGGAAACGAACTTATAAAGGCAAAACCTTTAAATATCACAACAATTAATAATAATAAAAAAGACATCACATATAAATTTTGTCTTATGAAATGGAGAAAAACATAAATGCAAACGATCAAACACTTCACTCGAAATATATCCCTTAGACTAGAGATTATTGGTGATGTTAGGAGCACAAACATCAGTGGTGGCAGTGGTGATGGTAGCGAGACAATCGATTTCGGGTTGGTAGTTGTTGCTGTCCATGCAAGGAATGCCCTCGTCCTCTCCATCACTAAGATTTTGATTCAAATCCAAAATCATACTTTGATTCGAATCCATATTCATATCCATATTAAAATCATGGATTTTCTTTGGAAGCTGATCATAAAAATCAAAAAGAGCCTGATATTGGAATTGAACCGGCTTTTGGTGATTTTGATTTTGATATTGAATCATACGACCATCAAATCCGATTTGGGCAGCTGCATCCGCAACAATAGGAAGAGGTAAAGATGAAGAAGACTCACCGTTCTCAGTAAAGATCTCAATCCTGTGAGTAAGGCCATTGAGATACTTATCAATCAATAAACTCAAATCTTGAAGATCATTTCCATCAAGATGATACACATCCGTCTCCCCTTTGAGACAACCGAACATTAAATCTCGAATATGAGAATTACGGTTCTCATCACGTAGCTTCTGCAGCTGCTCTTTTGCTTTGGCGATCCTTTGACGTGTAAAAGTCTCTTGATCCACCATCTTCTTGGTCCGGTCCATCATCGACAACTCCATAAACTTTGAAACCACTTCTTCAACGCCTTCTCTTGATGGCCAAGCCTCCGGGATCAAGTTGTACGGGCTATAGACGACCGCACATGCTTTAACACCACATAGAGTGACTAGCTCCTCGAGTTTCTTCATCATCCCTTTCTTCCTTTTGGTGAATGTTGTTTTCCTCGATTTACCATTTTCTATGAACGCTAACTTCATCTTCCTCTTCATATCTATTATCTTTGTTATGTGTGTTTTGTTTTGTTAGCATAAGGAGGATTTTTTATATAGTAAATGAAAGGCGTTTCTAATCTACTCAATAGGTTTCTTATTGCTTTGCTGGACTAATTAATTTTCAATTTTACTAAATTTTTAGGATATGGTATTAGTTTCACCATTACGTGTAGGCATGTGATTGAGTGTAAAATAATAATCATTTATCTTTAGAGACAACTAATACATATATTTTACCTTTTGGGGGGCATAAAACGAGATATTTAGGGAAAAATTTGTATCACATATGTAATGTAATTTATCTCTCATTCAGGTAGTCCATATAAATGAAATTAAAATATTATATCAAAGGTAATTTTAAGATATTTCTTCAATCTATACATTTTTCTATTTATTATTATTTTTATATTTATA